AACAAAACGTAACAAAATAGTAGCGTTGATACTGTGATGTGTATTTGCAAAAAGCAATATTATTTCCTTCATTAAAGAATAATATTCATCTTGCTCTAACCGAGAAATAATCAACTTTGTTTTGAACCCATGAAAAACATAAAAAATTAGGCTATTTAAGAAAAATTTAAGCGCCTGCCTTGCATGGTCTTTCATGTACCTTTAAGTTTGCATAGACGTATTAAATACTTGCATAATTTCGAAAGTTCATATTTCAGGAAACAATGCGTTAAGACTTACATGTAAGATGTCTAAATCTACGCCATATTTCTTACAAACCCTAACGACAATTCGCTGAAATACAAGTTAGCCTGATATGTCATTAAGCAAACAAACGCTGGAGTTAATATTAGATATGCCGATTTTCGCTAATTTTAGACACATCCCAAAATATGCTCCCGATTTTGAACATTAATATCTCCGTGAATTCTTAAGTATAATACAACTGTAACATATCAAAATCTAAGTTAGTCCTTCCTCTATTTAATGCAATTTATTTCTGTTTGATAGCTTTATTTGTTTGGAAGTTACTACAAATCAAACAGGAGTAATTTTTTTTGGGACACCCGGTAGTATATCATATAAATAAATTTCTACTTCCTGTCGACTTCTTATTCAAAAAGAAGTAAAATATGAGATTCCTGATTGTTTTAAAAGTAAACTATCGCACAGGAACAGCACAGGGTCGAATAAAAAACAATTTTGGAAAATCACCAAGCGGAGAATGACGCTACAACAGTCAGAGAGGTCAGATCAAAAACGACAAGTGGGATTCCGCTGCTATTTTTTAACTTTTGATTTTCATTACCTACCTGTACATAGGACGAAAGATATTCCATAACAATGGTTTTGAAATGTTTTCATTTAGTGCTTTACTATAATAGTCACTATAGACTTACGAATTTGATGTACTATTTCGGAGTTGTTTATAGTGTAATCAGTGATCTAGCTTAGCTTTTTCGTGTTTTATGCTCGTCTTAGGGGAGTGTGACGGGGTTTCATTTGTTCACGTATATCTTTAGTGCTCCATCCAGGAAGGCGTCGCGTTTTTACTCTCCTTTCAACAAGCGGTACATGGTTGTTTAGGACAGTCAGGTACATGTGAGTCCATGCACATATCAAGATATGAGTAGGGATCAGTTACATCAGGCTGGAGCTAGGAGATGCTAAGGAAATTGTTTAATTATTCGTTAAGTAAAACTGGGTTCCGATTCTTTTTGTCATGATAAGTTTATTTCGAGGTGATTAGTCCGCGATGTGGTGCCTTGGGGTTGATTTTTCTAGTACAGAATATCCTGTAGTAGTCACTTAAGACTGACAGAGGGTGCGTTGTATATGTGGTGAATAATTGACGCAGACACTGGCCTTGTTATTTCTTAATTAATTGTGTATATTGAAAAGAGGTGGTAAGAAGTTTGAGAGATCGATAGTGCGAGTGGTTGGATATATTCACATTGAAGACACCGATTATACTCACTTCCTTCTTTTCATTTTTTAAAGATTTCATCATATGCAATATGCATTTAAGTTTCTTCATCCATTGAATGGAACTGGAGGGAGGACGATGTAGGGTGAGAATAATTATGGGCGTGATCGATAGAATATAATGAGGTGCACGTGTGAGTCTTCTAATTTTTCTACGTTTAAAATTAAAAACGTTTGGAATATAAACAATTAGACCACTTCCAGCTGAATATGATCTATCTTTCCTTAGTATCAAGATTTTGTTGGCATCTCACTCAATCGAATAATAGTTGGAGGGTTCTGTAGGTGGAAATTATCGAGTGGCAATTCTATATACATTTATTAGACCTAACCAGGAACAGCTGCGAAAAATGCAACTTTAGGTCCCTGGCAGGAATCAAATCTTGAGGCGATTCCGGAGTAGCGTTCTAACCAACTGAGCTACAGGGTCTAGTTGTCAAGCTCCAACCACAAGTTCATGTATATATGCTAGGGTACTGCCATGTTAAGGTATGGGTATAAATACCAATAATATACCTCAAATTCAAATTGTCCAATCAGGAAGCTTAGTTTATGCCACGTGAGCATGAAATTAATCGCGATATCACGCCTTACGTCATCAATTAGCGAGCCTGCGTTCCTTTTGACAATGTTCCACCCCATGTTCCCCGGGGAACATGGGGTGGAACATTATTCGCGTACACCACGCGGGACAACACGCATGATAACAAGATGGCCGACAAAACATAAATAGTATTAATGAGTGATGAATAATTCAATTTTAAACCTAAAACCCGGGGCTTTTTCAAACCTAAAACCTGGGGCTTCGTCATTAATATTCCAAACGATATGTGATTCGAAAGAAAAGCGACGACACTTGCGTTAATCCGAAAATAAAACATCGTATTCACGAAGGTTTGTGTCAAGTTTTTAATTCTCCACTTGGAGGCTTTTAATTTTCGGTATAATATATCATTTATAGACCTTCCGCTCGTGGGATTCGGCGAAATATTACCCTCAGTGATGATATTTCCCTCGGGGCAAAGCCCTCGAGAAATATCATCACTTCGGGTAATATTTCGCCGAATCCACCTCGCTCCAGGTCTATAAATGATAAAGGTTCTGTTGGTATCTCACTGGATTACACACGTGAAATTATCAACTTGAAACTCATTATCAGACCAAGAATTGTTTAGATGTGAACACAAAAATAACATAATTTTATGACTGTAACGAGTGTTTTAATATATCATTGATCAATATTTTAACCTGGTCAATTTTGTCAGTAATACTTGAATATTCATGTGTGCAAAGGATAGACCTGTCTTTGGTATGGTGTTATAAATTTGAATAGTGGGGATAGTATTTATTATTCCCCAGTGTGATCTATATGTTGAATAATTTACTGGTAATGCAGTTCATAATGATTCTTGCTATACATTACTGTCAGCCTAGTCCCAGTCGTTCTGAAGGAAGCGCGAGAAAAAAAGTGGATGTAGTACGAGACTGGGACCTAGGTTTGACGTCACCGCTCGAGGTGCTTCAGAACGCCTAGCAGATTTCAGTATTCTTAATATGGCGGAAAATTTATATATACAGTACAAGTAACCTTTTAATTATAAATACGACAATGTTCGTTCATCATGTACATGTTCGATGTCTACATAACCAAATCAAACTGTATTAAAAATGTGCTCAACAAAAAACTGATTATATACAAATTTACGATACCGAGTTTGAGCTAGCCTGCGAGCAGGCTCTCTGGGGAAAGAGAGCCTGCAAGGATCCCTATGATGATTGCGTGCCGCCCTTCAATTAGGATGTCACAGGTCAATTAATAACAACCAATCAGCGCAGACCGGAATACACTACGATATTGTAAACATAAACCGATTCGTTAATAGTTTCGTATACAGACCGCCACTGTGGCATACTAAAAAAGTTAAAACGGCTCGAGGTTTTACAGTGTAATATATCAAGTTGTACTTTTTATTACAATCTGCATGTGTTTCTTCTGTAGGCACAGTAAGTTTAAAGTTGTATATTACCCGCTAACTAATTCAGTTATTTGGAATTGCTTCGTGCTGCAATATATAATATATATACAGTATATATATAGTAATATAACTTCCTGAAATTTATGGCTTTGGTGAGACATAGACATATATGATATACCATGGACATTGGACATAATTTAATAATATGTTTATAGTTCAAATTTTGCAACAAAAAGTGGAATTGCAGTACACATGCATGTCAGCATGTGATAATTATTGTAAACAAAGTGACGAGTAAATTACTGTACATTTTAACGCCGCATACTTATAAATATTAAATAGTCAGTATAACATTGTGAAACAAGCTTAATACACACAATATATGCACTGAATATTATCAGAATAATTCCCAATATTGTTTCATAAAAGAGAAGCGATATAATGCCTTGTCCCTAGGTTTCGGTTTGCGAATTTGTGCAGTCTTTCTCAAGAATTATTTTTAGCCTAGGAGTCAGACAAGCCAAGGACACAATAAAGCATGCAAGCTTTTAGTATTCGTCTTTATATGAATACTATATTAATTTACAGTAAAAAGTCAACCAGAATCAAAATGCATGACACTTTTATCTCTACATTGCTCGGTTTTACAAACGGGAAGTGCAAGTTTATGGAAGGTTGTCAATCACTTCATATAAATCAGTTATCAACCAATCAGAGCTCTGCGTCCAAATATTGGACGCATGCACGTAAATGTTATAGGGATCCTTGCAGGCTCTCTTTCCCCATAGAGCCTGCTCGCAGGCTAAGTTTGAGCAATCGTTGATGTTATTTATGTACTCGCAAGTTGTGATCAACACTAGACCATACTGGTATACACAACTACGCTTTCTACTTGACAGGTCTAAATTGCTGATGAGATTGGAAATATTTGCCTGACATGACGGTGTTGTCAAAACATTCTTAGTCGGAGACTCGGCATAATTTTCAAGCTTCTAGATAGCATTTAATATGGCTATATATTTTAGTAAACACGAGTCATATTTAGCCCGTTATTCATTCTGACCGTATGGCCGCGAAACGTAGCCTACTTCATTGTTCCGACAGCATTAGAGCAAAACTAATGACTTAATTATAAATGCAAAGGAAATTTCCATAACATTTGCCATTTACAAATGAGGTATGCTTGGTAACCAGGCCAGGGACCACTTTTTTGAAATCAGGGACCATTTTACCGAAATTATTCTCTCGCTGAAGCGTTCCGCACAGCGCACCCAGGCATAAAACTTTTAAGACTTATTTAAATATATCAAAGCAGCGAATAGAGAGAGAGCCTGGGACTAGGCTGCATTACTGTATATGATTAATTCATTGTAGGCCTATTGATAGCCGTCGTCCTGACGTCGCCGTCTCACATTCGTAAACTCCCAACCTAGTCCCAGGCTCTCTCTCTATTCGCTGCTTTGATATATTTAAATAAGTCTTAAAAGTTTTATGCCTGGGTGCGCTGTGCGGAACGCTTCAGCGAGAGAATAATTTCGGTAAAATGGTCCCTGATTTCAAAAAAGTGGTCCCTGGCCTGGTTACCAAGCATACCTCATTTGTAAATGG